ACTCTCAACGGACCCGGGGAGAGCTGACCCCGTGGGCTTCTGAGACTCAACCTTCACGAAGCGGCACACCTCCCTTGGACGGCGTGGTAAGTTCAAATCTCCAACCTCACCAGCGGCACCCCGGGAGACTCAGCACAGGGGGCAGTGGTGAAGCCTCTAGGAGGGGCTGGGGGTCTAAAAGAGGGTCCTGGCCGAGGCTGGGAGGACATTGGGGGGTGGCACTCACCGAGTGTGAAGCTGGAGAAGGTGGAGCTGTGCATGGCCGTGTGTCGGCCCAGCTCCGTCCTGGCCACACCGGGGTGTAGTGCATTGGCAGTCACGCCCGTTCCTGCAGAGAGGCAAGGGTCCGAGAGAGGGGGGCACACCACAGGCCCAGCACTACCCAACACCCGCCCTGAGCTCCGCAGTGCCCTGCTGGTCTGTGCTCGATGCCAGACCTGGCCTCTCCCTCCGAAACCGCACCACTGGATGCCAACGAGCGGTTCAGGCACACAGCAACCCTACAGGCCCGGGCAAAACCACGAGAGGGGACCCTCACGGTGGTCACTAGAGGGCCCGGCCTTTTCTCCTTCAGAGTCACTGGGTGGGTTTGAATCAACAACCTTTCAGCTATGTTTAACCACTGTGTCACCTGGGCTCCCTCTGGTGTACTGCTGCCCAACTGAGTGGGTGGCAACATCCCCTGGAGAGGCCGTCAAACCCAGACGCTGGGGATCCACCCCCAGATCTTAAGGCTGACGGACGTCAAGGGCAGGCTGACAGGAAGGCGTAAAGAGTGACTGACAGACTGAAGAAGCGTCAGACATTGAAGAACAAGTTGATAGAATAAAAACGAACAGACTGAAAATTCCTTCAGACTGACAAGAGGCCCAAGGACAGGCTGATAGAAGCAACTAGACGGAAGGACAGGCGGATACTAAAGAACAGGCCAACAGAGTGAAGGAATGACTGACAGACTGAAGGACAGGCTGGCTGTGACGACCAGGCTGGCCGACTGAAGGGCAGGCTGCTGGTCCACCAACCCCCATGATGGACTGACTTGTGGGCCCCCAGAGTGTATTGAAATCCCCACCCCTGTCCCTGTGGAGGTGACCACATCTGGGGACAAGGTGTCTCCTTGTTGTGATCATCTGCGGGGGGGTGGGTCCTCACCCTACGCACTTTGAGATCTGAAAAGGGCAGACGGAGCCAAAGCTGACAGAGAGCGCCTTCCCCCGGGGCCCCGGCACCCTCAATCTGGGCTTCTAGCCTCATTGCTGATGGCTGTGCGTGAAAGCGCCCCCTTGTGGGATCTGTCCGAGCAGCCCTGAGGACCAAGCAAGGCCCTGGAGCAGCTGCTTCTGCCTTAGCCTCAGCACCAGGGACAGCTCAGGCCAGGCCATTCTTTGCTGTGGGGGGCTGCGGTGCAGGGGACTAGACTGGGGTTATGGGGGAGACGACCTATGAGGGGAGACCACAAACTATGAGCTATGTGAGGAGGAAGACTGGGGAGCTGGACTCGGGGATGGA